GGCTAAAAAGTGGTTAACAAGTTTTCAGTAAGAACACATGAGCTCAGGATATTTACATTAATATTGCATTTGTGATGCAAAATGATTTATTGAGATTTCGTTTAGCATTTTTAGACTCTAAAATAGTCACTTGGTGCTACCTAGAACCCTTAGGAATATACTGTTGCTCATTGTACATTAATAAGATGTGAATATAAGTAATTCATTCATACTATTTAATTTACAAGGTCTAAAGTGTTTGTACTTATTAATTAATAATGTAATTAACTAATAATGTAATTAATTGTGATTTTCACTAATGCAGGTCATTTAAACCCCAAATTTGATGTCAAAAAGATTTTAACTAATCCCCAACATGTGTTCTTTAAAATATAGTCCTACCAATTCGACAAATTTCTATCACTTAGGTTTAAAGAGTCCTCACACACCGATCAGGCATAACATTATGACCACCTCCTTGTTTCTATGCTCATTGTCCATTTTATCTGTTCCACTTACTATACACTTACCAGCACAACACACACTAACACACCACCATGTCAGTGTTACTGCAGTGCTGAGAATGATCCACCACCCAAATAGTACCTGCTCTGTGAGGGTCCATGGGGGTTCTGACCACTGAAGAACAGGATAAAAGAGGGCTAACAAAGTATACAGAGAAACAGATGGACTACAGTCTGTAACTGTAGAACTACAAAGTGCACCTATACAGTAAGTGGAGCTGATAAAATGGACAATGAGTGTAGAAGCAAGGAGGTGGTCATAATGTCATGCCTGATCGGTGTACATATGTCATACAGAGCCTTATGTTAGTAGCCTTCAAGTGAAGTGTTACTGAATCTAATGCCTATTTAATGAAGGTTCTTAATGTGTCCCACAGCGTAATGATGTAAGGCTCTTCTTGGTATTTCACAAAGGAATTTTTATGTCTTCCGCACTTGCAATCCTGAGTGGGTCTTTGTAATCAAAGAACATTTCCCAGAATAACATAAAAAACCCATGTGCTTTTGTTTTTACAGCCGCTTTTATTGTCTGTAATGTCCTGTAGTGCATTGTCTCGCATTGTGTAATGCTGTATGAAAAGGAGAGATTTCTACGTACAATAGAACTAATGGAACAGTACAGGGTTGGGGCTTCCATAGCTGGAGGGAAAAGTTGTTAAGCTTAATTACAGCTGAAAATGGCTTCCTTATCAGAGAGCATAGACACGACTCCGCTGGCTAAGAGATAATAAAGAGTGGTAGTGACATATGTTAGGCTGGGTACATTTAGCTCGCTTTAATAGAGAGAAAGGCCCGGCCTTGTCAAGTCTTGTTTCCGCCACCTCGTGCCAAAACACTGTCTCAGCATCAAAAAAAGAAAGATGGCACACTTAGCAATGGGAGCTTGTGATATCAGTGCTGAATTCTTTATCGCATTCATTTGTGCTTCAGCATTGCAGCGCAAACACAGTGCTGGGCTTTCTAAGCATTAAAAGCACTACAATTGTCTTAGTGGCCGCTTCATTGAAGAGCTCCACCTTGCTAATGTACAGTTGTAGTGTTTTTCCACTAGGCAGTAGAGTAAGTTGCTGTTATAAACCATTGATCATGCATTTTATCATCTTTTCCACCATATAATACTTGAGTACTTGAGTTTAATTACTCTTCTTAACTCTCACAAACTAGCCGGAATCACTGTCTGTGACTCTCACTGCAAAACCACATAGAGTAAAAGGTAAACCAGAAGCTTTTTCATTGTTTACTATCAGCATTAGTGATGCATGAAAATCTATATGACCACCATCCAACCTCCAGACAACCCCACTTACTTTTTCAGTGGTGGGATTGGAAGTGGACACAGGGTATGGCTAGTTCTGGGTCCGGAAAGCTAACCATGCCATGCTATACTGCAGAGTTTGTATTCTATAACCTCTTGCCCTTCATCAGTGGCCAGTGTCTGAACACAGAGGCGCTCTTGGCTGGATATTTTTAGGTGATGGACCACCTCAACCTAGTCTTGCAAGGCCAAATTTGATCTTATAACAAGAATACACATCTGCGGGCTACTTGTTATTTTTAGTGCTAGATTGCGAGGGTAGACCCCCTTAAAAAACCCACCCCCAAATTCCTCTTGCCAATATTCTTTTAATGTCCAGAGGTCAGTGGAAAGCAGAAGCAAGCTAACAAAATGATATCAGCTTACAGATTCTTCACACTCAAAAAAAAACATCCACATGCCAGTTTTTGAGGTCTGCCTTCATTAGATGTTTAGAACTGTTGGTTTAGAACTGAGTTTGTTCCCACCCTAAAAAATCTACGTTCCAACCTACATTCATTGTCCTCAGAAGTTCTCGCTATGAGATCACGTCTGGCCTTGCATGTCTACTCTCTATCTAGCACTGTCATGTCAGAGTCACTGCTGTGTTCAGAACGGACCACAACCCAAATGGACAACAGCAGCCCTGTGGTCAGACCGATGATGAATGAGGTAGAGGAGGACTGACAAACTGTGCAGCAACACATTGGCTACAGTCTGTGATTGTACACTGAAATAGTAGAGCAGTAAGATAGTTGGAGCTTCTAAAATGGCCAGTGAAAGTACAGGGTAGGTGTTTCTAATAAAATGGCCAGTAAGTGGAAGAACAACGTAGGTGTTTCTAATAAAGTGGCCAGTAAGTATAGTACAAGGTAGCTGTTTCTAATAAAGTGGCCAGTGAATGAAATTGCAAATAGTCCTTTCTAATAAAGTGGTCAGTAAGGGGAAGCACAAGGTAGGTGTTTCTAATAAAGTGGTCAGTAAGTGGAAGTACAAGGTGGGTGTTTCTAATAAAGTGGCCAGTGAGTGGAAGTACAAGGCTGGTGTTTCTAGTAAAGTGGCCAGTGAGTGGAAGTACAAGGTGGGTGTTTCTAATAAAGTGGCCAGTAAGTGGAAGTACAAGGCCGGTGTTTCTAGTAAAGTGGCCAGTGAGTGGAAGTACAAGGTGGGTGTTTCTAATAAAGTGGCCAGTGAGTGGAAGTACAAGGTGTTCGAAAAAGTGGGGCAAGGTGGTGTTTCTAATAAAGTGGCCAGTAAGTGGAAGTACAAGGTGGGTGTTTCCGATAAAATGACCAGTGAGTGGAAGTGCAAGGTGGGTGTTTCTAATAAAGTGGCCAGTAAGTGGAAGTACAAGGTGGGTGTTTCTAATAAAGTGGCCAGTAAGTGGAAGTACAAGGCCGGTGTTTCTAGTAAAGTGGCCAGTGAGTGGAAGTACAAGGTGGGTGTTTCTAATAAAGTGGCCAGTGAGTGGAAGTACAAGGTGGGTGTTTCTAATAAAGTGGCCAGTAAGTGGAAGTACAAGGCCGGTGTTTCTAGTAAAGTGGCCAGTGAGTGGAAGTACAAGGTGGGTGTTTCTAATAAAGTGGCCAGTCAGTGGAATTACAAGGTGGGTGTTTCTAATAAAGTGGCCAGTAAGTGGAAGTACAGCTTTCCTAGCCCTCGACTCTACAATACTAAGGAATACTCAAACAGAATCTGTAGCTGCTCTAAATCATCTAAAACCACAGGGATCACAGAGATGTTTGAATGTCTGCTCCTTCTACTGTTCCAGAAGCTTTATCCAAGCCTTCTGCTGCATAGGCCTGCATTTATTATTGCACATCTCAATTCATATGTGGTATCCACGCACAGCGGCTAATTGCGCAAGTGAATCTAATGCGATAAATTCATGTGCCGATACACGCTCTGTGTTAATTAGGTTCCAGGAGACGGCTCCCCGAACTCCTCCACAAACTCCATGTCACAACATGTCATAAAGCAGCCTCTTAACCTTGTCTGAACTTATCATGCCACCAATTAGTCTGAATAAAGTGAAGGCCGCACATCCCCCCTTGTAATCCGTTCTCGTCTGTGAAAAGGGCAGCGGGCCTTGTTAGTATGGAGCGCTGCGAGCTGAGCCGGGCAACAGCCTGCAACCCAGAGCACGTCATAGTGGCTGTATTTGTTTCATTATGCTCTCTTTTGGTGCTTAATTTGTGAAAGGGCAGAAAGAGAGAAGTAACAACCTGTAATATATGTAAAAAAGCCTTTTTGACCATATGGCCTCATTAGATTATGTCCATAGAATAAACGGGACCTCCATTGTGTTGTTATAAAGATTTAATCATTGCAAGTTGTTATTATTGTTCTACTATTATTCAAATATTGTTCTAACATTGCTTGATTGATGACAAAGTTACATCATGAAATACTTTTACATTCATTACATATATTATTGACATGTATGATGTTCATGATATTTGCAAAGTTTTATGTCATAAAAACAGTTGTAATACATTTTTATGACCTACAGCTAAACTGCTGTAGACTATAGACTGAATAGATGGAAAAAGGTACAGTCGAGTGCAAAAGTTTTAGCACCCCTAGTCAAATTGTTTTTTTTTGTTTTTTTTAAGTTAAAATATGGAGAATCCTTATATTTTAAATAAAATATCTAATATAAAATTTAAAAAATGTGCTTAAACTTTTGCACAGGCCTCTCTTTATGTTTTGTTTTATTTTCCAATATGTTAAATTCAGCATACAAACAGTAATAGTGCATTAAAGTTCACACTTTGCTCTGTGTAGAGGATGTTTTCACTTATTTTCAGTTGGACCATGGGCCCCAAAAATTTTGTATGCAACTGTAAATGCTTTGGTTTTTGTGACAAAAACAATGATCTCAAAACAGGCTACTTACTCTCCATGTATGGACTGTATGATGGTATGTTTTGAAACTTTTTACGTACTACGTCACACTTTTCTATCCAAAAAGTGAGGAAATGTAAATTTCCTGCCTTACAGGCTCTTGAATCTAAAAATACACCATGCTTTTGTTTTCGCCGACAATAACTTTGACTTCTAACATTTTATTGCCTTTTGGCTCGACTAATATTCCTCTCTCTGTTTCCCCTTCCCTCTCTTTCTCGTTCTCTCTCTCTCTCTTTCCTCCAGGTCTCCATAGAATGGAGCGAGAATGAACAGAGAGCGGCTGAAGGAAAAGCATGAACTGGAGGGTCATTGAGGTCACTTGCTTCCTGTTTATATGGGACCATATAACAGTTCAGTCTTCCCGCCAAGACCCCTCGGCCAACGAGCAGCATGTCACCAAGCAGTTTGATTGGCTCATCTCCGACCGCGGCCCTTTCCACCACTCGAAGGGCTACCTCTCCTTCGTGGAAAGATTCCGCCAAGGATTTACGACCCGATATAAAATTTATAGGTGAGTGCGGCTTTGGCATTTTTAAAGGTGCTGTTTGTAGTAGTGAGAGGATCCTGATCGTTTTCTGTCCCCTCTTTTTCTACCTTCTCCTACCTTCGCCTATCAGGGTTTCCTATGAATCTGAAGTTGAGAAATGTTCATACACTGTAAAAATAATATCGCTGCTGTCGAAGAAAACCTCCAAAATGATAATTTAATAGGAAAAGGAAAAACCTGCTTTACTTTTAATGTAAGTCAATGGAACCAGACCTGTTTCCAAGTCATTTTGGTCCATTCTTTATGGAATTTACACACAGTGTAAAGGCCAACAGGCAGTTTAAAATTATGTGAAAAACTGAAAAAACGACAAAAAACGAGACACAAGGTTTTCTTCAAACAGCGGCGATATGTTGTTTTAATAAAAGTAAATAACTTGCCTGCCTTCACATTTTCAGTGAACATGAAACACTGAAGAGCCCATATCTTAGGTTTTTTTTAATACTCTTTAATTCTCAATACTACCATGAAAAACATTACTATTTACATTACATAATAAACTAGATTGGCTAAAGCCAATATAATCCTTCATTTTCTTCTCATAATTATTCTACATTCAAAAAAATTGCAATGCTACTTCTCCTAAAGCTAAAGATAGAACCACTGAACTTTGCAGGATTGTAGAGCCAACACCCAAATACATTTTTTAACCAATTGAACATATGGTTTTCATCTCAAATGATCTTATACTATCCCACATGCATATTAGATACAAATTCACTTACTTATTAGCACACATATAGACACACATTAACAACTGCTATTGATACCATAACAACACTTAGGAGCCACTTGGAATAGCACAGCAATAATGTAGCAACAACTTAGCAAAACTGACTGGGGTGACATAGCAATGACCTTGCAACCAACTGGGATAGAACTGTCTAGCAACAGTTTAGCAACCACCAAGGATACCATAGTGGTGGTCTACCAATGCCTTAGCAACTACCTGGGATACCACAGCAACCCCATAGCAACACCTTAATAACCACCAGAAATACCTTATCTATGGCTTAGTAATACCTTAGCAACCACCAGGAATACTATATTCACAGCTTAGTAACACCTTAGCAACCACCAGGAATACTATATCCACAGCCTAGTAACACCTAAGCATTCACCTGGAATATTATATCCAAAGCTTAGTAATACCTCAGCAACCACCTGGAATACTACATTCACAGCTTAGTAACATTTTAGCAACCATCTGGAATACTATATCCACAGCCTAGTAACACCTAAGCAATCACCTGGAGTACTATATCCACAGCTTAGTAATACCTTAGCAACCACCTGGGATACTACATCCACAGCCTAGTAACACCTAAGCAACCAGCTAGAATAGTATATCCACAGCTTAGTGCACCTTAGCAACCACTGGAATACTAAATCCACAGCCTAGTAGCACCAAAGCAACCACCTGGAATAGCATATCTACAGCTAAGTGCCACCTTAGCAACCACCTGGAATACTAAATCCACAGCCTAGTAACACCAAAGCAACCACCTGCAATAGTATATCCACAGCTTAGTGCCACCTTAGCAACCACCTGGAATACAAAATCCACAGCCTAGTAACACCAAAGCAACCACTTCGGATAGCAAAGCAACACCCACCAACAGCTTATTAACCAACAGGAATAACACAGCATGTGCCTAACAACACCTAAGAAACCACCTGGGATAGAATAGCAACAGCATGGCAACACCTTAGCAACCATCTGGAACAGCACAGCGATGCCCTAGCAACAAATTATAAACCACCTGGGATAGCATGAAAACAACCTAGCAACACCTTAGCAACCCCTTAGGATGCCATTGGATTGGCTAAATTCACAGATATATGTATTTGTTATGTGACATCATAAAAACAATCTGTTTTTGACACTTAGCTTCCGTAAATGGACAGTATAGACTAGTACATTTTGTTCATGTTTCCAAGATATGAAGCTAACAGTAATCCGTGTTTATGTTAAGTTTGATAATATAAAAAAAATTGGAAGGCAAACAGGTTATTTACGCTTTTTATATATTTTACAGTGTAAAAGCTGGGCACCAAAAAAGCTTCCAGCAGCCTCAACTCCGAGTCGTTTATCAGCGTAAAGAACTGCAGCGAGCTCCACAGTGTTAGGACCTTATTTTTCCTCCTCATTTAAGAAAGAGCACTGCTTCCACTCTTATCAGCCTCTCACTCCTTTTACACCTCCTTTGTACATCCTTTCTACAAAATAATAAGTGGCGCCGCTGCAAGTCCCGGACAATATATTGCTGTTGTGGCTTCCCAGCACAAAAGTGGATGTGATTCTATCTCAGGTTCCCTCAGTTTCAGTGCTTTCCTGAACAAATTCTAGTTTTTCTGCACACGTGGCTGTTTTGTACAGCAAGAAATATGGTGATCAGCATTTATTGGAAAGCAGCTCAAGAACTGAGCGCGAGGAACCGGATTGAGGAGTGGCCTGACTAAGCTGAAATCAAAGGCAGATTTGCACTGTAAAAATAGCTTAGAGTGTGAATACTCAAAGGCGTATTATGTGCATTGATTATTAGATGTTGGCCATTAGCTTTAATGAAACGCTCTTGTAATGAAACACTCCTAATGAAGCATTATTGTTGGTGGATTAGCACGTCCGCTAGTCTGTATTCTCTCATATAGGCTAGGGTTTGCCAGTTTGTCAGATTTTTTTCCCCCATGAAAGAGGCAACTCAACCCGCTTCTAGGATCCTGACCCATGATTTGTACAGTGCTGTGCAAAAAATCCACTCTTTTATTTGATTTCAAGTCCATTAAGTACAAGTTATTATTTAATTTCTTTCAGCCTCCATTCTTTTCAGGAGACTCGCTTTCAGATTCTTGAAGACATCTGCAGGAATATTTTTTCCACCACTCCAAAGTTCAGTCGTAGAAGTTGGTTGCACTGCTTCTCACAATACAAGTAGTCCCGATCACATGAAATAGTGCTGACCTCAGACCTCTGTGGTGGTCAGTCAGGTGTTCTGAGAGCACCAGCAGCTTCTTTGATTTCCTCTTGAAATCTGAAGTAAGAGTGGAGCTTGATTTTCTTTCTCTCTAAGACAAAAGCTTTAAGTGCTGTTTATCCGATGGGGACACTTTTGGTGGTCTACCAGGCGTTGCAGGTGGTTGTTAGGAGGTTGTTAATCATTTTTTGGACTCCGGTTTGTAAGATCTCCATTTCTCAGAGTTTTGGCTTCCATTCTTTTCAGGAGACTCACTTTCAGATTCTTGAAGAAATCTGCAGGGATATTTTTTACATTTTTCAAAAGTTTAGTCTTAGAAGTTGGTTACACTTTCTGCTTCTCACAATACAAGTAATCCCAAACACATTCAACGAAGCTGAGCTCTGACCTCTGGGGTGGTCACTCAGTTGTTCTGAGAACACCAGCAGCTTCTTTGTTTGATATCCTCTTGGAATCTGAAGCAAGAGTGGAGCTTAATATTCTTTCTATCGAAGACAAAAGCTGTAAGTGCTGTTTGTCTAACAGGGACAGTTTTGGCGTCTGTCAGGTCTTCCAGGTGGTTGTTAGGGGGCAAATTTTCTCTGTAGCTTTTGATGATTTTTGGACTCCAGTTTTTAAGAACAAGTTTTTCTTTTCCCAGAGTTTCAGCTTCTATTCTTTTCAGGAGAGTCACTTTCAGATTCTTGCAAAATCTACGGGGATATTAAAGTTCAGTCTTTGAAGTTGGTTACTCTTTCTGCTTCTTACAATACAAGTAGTCCCAAACACATTCCCAAAGACAAAAGCTGTAAGTGCTGTTTATCCTATGGTGACACTTTTTGTGGTCTACCAGGTGTGTCAGGTGGTTGTTAGGAGTCCCATATTCTCTGGAGCTTTTAATCATGTTGGGCAGCTTTGGAAACTCCTGTTTTTTTTCACTTAGTGTCGTTTGATCCCTCCTACATGCAAATGGAAAAGAGAGAAAAGTCACTACTTCACTGCAGCAATAATACATTTACTTTAGTTTGGAGTTGGGACACTTTACCTACCTCTGGACAGCGTCCATGCTTTCCAATCCACATTACAGACCTCTATTGTCCCCCTATTGAACAAAAGCTGGTGCCTATCTTTTGTGAAGCATATCGCTACACTTGGCAAGTTGCAACTTCAAAACAAGCCCTTAAGTTAATGGGATAAAAAAGCAGTGTAGAGGAAAAGCTGGAGACTAAAAGCAGCCCGCATTGCTGGCTTTGTTTCCGAGCATCTGCAGTGCATTAAAGGATAAAAATCGTGACTGGGCATCTGACTGGCAGAGCGGTTTTAATCTGTGAACCGAGAAGGCGTGTTCTACCTTGCGTGCAGGATTAGCTGATGGCAGGTGTGGCGGGTAATGTGTGTAATGTGTCACCCTGTCCATAACGTTTCTTTGTTTGCAATTAAGAAGAGTAGAAGTTAAAGAAGTCAATGCTAATTGTGGCTGTAGGCATTGTTCTCTGTCTAGAATGCTGATTGCAGAGAGCTTTGGTGAAAAGTCATTCTTTGACTTTACTTGGTTCAAATTCAATTTGTATACATTTGAATACCTTGATTTTAATTAAAATCCCTACCGAAACTCATCTGGAATTGTGATTTGCCACACAATGTTTGCTCAAGGCTCATTGTGTATTACAGTGACCACAATTGTCCATTGGTAGGGCTGCACATTATTACTTGTGCTTTTTAATAACAATGTAGTTACACATTAACAATGAATGCAACAACAATGTAACTACTGGTGATGTATTTCCTGTGACAGGTGAATTTCAGTAGTGCAGCTATAAATATACATATGTTGAAAAAGTTATAACAGCATATGTTCTCTTATGTAATTACACATGTGTAATAGGTTGAGGGTAATTACATCATTTTTGTAATTATACAACATATTTTAACATGGTAATGTGATCAAATATCAAACTTAGCCATGATCTACAACTTCACAGTGCCTACATAAAGATAAAGACATCTGTT